GCCTGGGTGGCTCAGTTGGTTAAGCCACTGCCTTCGGCTCAGGTCATGATCCTGGAGTCCCTGGATCGAGTCCCGCATCGGGCTCCCTGCTCGGCGAGGAGCCTGCTTCTCCCTCTAACCCTCCCCCCTCCCATGTACTCTCTCTCTCTCATTCTCGCTCTCTCAGATAAATAAATAAATCTTTAAAAAAATGTATATCTTTACAATGAAATATTCAGCAATAAAAAGAAATAAAATACTGATATATGCTACACATGGATGAAGCTTGAAAATATTATGTTATGTGAAAGAAGCCAATCACAAAGGGCTACACATGTTGTATGACCTCATTTATATGAAATGTCCAGAATAAGCACATCTCTTAAACCAAAAGTAGATTAGTGGTTGTCTAAGGCTGAGGTTAGAGGCCAGAGTAGTTGGGGTGACAGCAAAAGGGAGTGGGGTTTCTTTTGAGGGTAATGAAAATGTACTGAAATTGACTGTGGTGATGGATGCACAACCCTGTGATATTACAAGCCACTGAATTGTACACTTTAAATGTTGAATTGTATGGTATGTGACTTATAGCTCAACAAAGCTGTTAAGGGGAACATGGCTGGCTCAGTCAGTAGAACATGTGACTCTTGATCTTGGGGTCATGGGTTGAGTCCCACCCTGGGTGTGGAGATTACTTAAAAAAAAAAAAAAAGAGAGAGAGATAAAGGGCGCCTGGGTGGCTCAGTTGGTTAAGCGACTGCCTTTGGCTCAGGTCATGATCCTGGAGTCCCTGGATCACGTCCCGCATTGGGTTCCCTGCTCGGCAGGGAGTCTGCTTCTCCCTCTGACCCTAACCCCTCTCATGTGCTCTCTCTCATTCTCTCTCTCTCAAATAAATAAATAAATCTTTAAAAAAAAAAAAAGATAAAACTACCAGGAAAAAAAAAAATGAGACAACCAGGAAAATCTGACTACTGGCTGGGTATTTATTTGATGGTATTAAATAGGGATAATAGTTTTGTCAGTTTTTTTTTAAGGGTTCTTATTTTTTAGAGATAAATACTGACATATCTACAGATGAAAGGATAAATTTGGGATTTGCTTCAAAATAATGGGGAGGTCTGCTGTGGGAGGAGGGAAAATGAAACCAGATTGGTCACGAGTTGGTTACAAGATAGGTGATGAGTACAAAGGGATTCATTAAGTTATTCTTTTGTATATGTTTGAACATTTCCGAAATAAAAGGGCTAAAAGCCACAAGACAAGAATCTTTATCAGGCTACCCCTGACTCACTGTGGGAACCCCTCTTTCTTCCGGGTCTCCTGATGAAAATTAAGGAAGACAACAGCTATATCTCATACCATTCTTGTGAGGAAAGTAAAGATACGTTTAAGATACCCTACCAAGGGACAGGGCTCCCTTTTGTCCAAGGCCGGAGAGTCCCAAGAGCAAGGCAAAAGAAAATAAGCTCATCACACACAAAGGGGCTACAAAACCCGATTTTGGACAGTAAGGACCCCAGAGCTATGGAGAGAAGAACCTACAATAGGAATCAGTCTTTCTATCTATAGTTAATAGCCCCTACAGCAAAGTGAGATATTCGCAATTCAAACAGCCTTGCAGTTAGGCGCCAAAGGACATTCAACAAGTGACCAGAGAAGATAAAAATTTAGAGTGGGAGGAGACACACCAAGAGCTTCGTTCCACTCCCATCCGTTTATCCGGTATGCCCCTTCTTGTCAATCCCTCTCCCACACGTTCCATTCCCAAAGCTGAAACTGGACGGGGAGGCAGAAAGGAGGATGAACACCCGCATCCCCCAAAGGAAGAGGGTTTAAAACAGACCACCTGATAATGGGAAGCCGACTGCCTCCTCTCGGATTTTCACCTTACCCGACTCAATAGCACGGGGCTTCCGGCAGACAGACCGTTTGGGTAGGGGGCGGGGCGAAGGAGAGCGAGGGACGGGGCTACAAGGTACAGGAGCCAATAGGCGATGACCCGGAGGCTCACGTCCAGCCCAGCCCTCCAGTCTTCTGAGCTTGCCCAGCGAGGAACTTCAGAGGTCCAGAAACTTTTGGGACCCCATCTCTTCCCACTCGCCAGGCCCATCCTCAGAGTCCCAGCCGCCAATGGTTGGGATGTCTGCTTTTTCTTCTTTTGTCACAGAAAGTTACGCAGAGGCAGCCACCCTATGGTAGCTAAGCAATCCAAGATACTGAGATCTCTGAGCATTTAAGGGAAACCCATTCCTTGGATCTTCTGGAATCCCAACCACCTCCAGCCACAGCTCCCATTCCCAGTCGCTAACTGACTGATCCCGTCTCCTTTTGGGAAGTACTTCAGCTCAGTAGTGGAGTTGCCCCTCCCCCAAGTTCTGAGAGACCCACTCAGTCATCACCCACTAGGCAAATTCATTTGATTTAGCCCTGCAGTAAAACCTGCCATGTCTCCCACCACACAGATATGGGGCCCTGGCGGGCTTAGCAGTATAGTTTGGTAGTTCTCTAAACTGGTTGTGTGTTGATTCACACACAAGCTCTTTTCAAAAATAATTTTTAGACTCATCATAGGATTACCATGTCCCATTAGCAAGTGCATTAATATTCTTTCCGTCCTTGCTGAAGCCACCATTTCCCAGGCTTGTCTTGGCTAAAGGCCAATCCCCAGATAAAGCAAGGCTAGTAATAGAGCACCTGAATTTGCCATGGCAAATTCGTCCCAGGGCAGAACTCTGGGCTGGATATCTGGATCTCAAAAGAAAGAACTTCTGGGAAAAAGACATTTATAGAAAAAAAAAAAATCTGCTGACACCCAGTACTTGGAGTCCCAGTAGACTGATTTATTGACCAACAGCATTACTCCTCCAGCTCCCTTACAGGAGCTGGACAGACCAGTCAAGAGGCAGATCTGTTAGGCATTACTGAGAGTGTATACTGAGGAAGGGGATGGGAAAACATAGTAACAGTGGTAACCAAGAAGGATGGGGTCTGGGAGGGGACTGCAAAGCCAGGCCCCATGAGTCCACCAAACAATGCCTCCACTCTTGGGAGTAAAAGTAGTTTGAGTCTGGGGACATCAACAGTTGAAAATTGGTATTAAGAGTTGCCTATTATGCTGTTTCGAGGAATGTGTGATGTCAAATGAATGAAGTCAGGCAATCACACAACAGGTTGACCAGCAACTTGATTATCACCTTACAGGATTTCTTCCTTTTGGACCTCTTTAATGGGTGTTGGCTGGATTAAGGGTAAGGACTTGGAGGATGTCACAGGCTTGCCCTGGCTTGTGGAGCTAAAGGAAATCCTTTGGGTGAGGCAGTATACAAAGTATGTGGGGATGGGGAGGATGACAATGAGAAAAAGGGCAATCATCGCAAGCAGCCCCCATGATGGGTATTGTCGAAGCACCTCTTTTGACTGTGGAAAGATGGGAAAGGGGCTCAGGACATCAAAGTTCCCGGAAAAGGAAGGACTGTAGAAGGGAAGGGTGGAAGGGGAACCAGGGCGGAGGATTAATGAGTCTTTAGGGAGTCAGGGAATGAGATGATAGGGTCTTTAGGCCATGGGTGGATTGAAAGATCCAGCCCCCACTCCCTAGGAGGTCTGGTGTCTGGGGAGGGAGGCTCACACTGTTTGAGTCCCAGGCCACATAGGTGATGGTCTTCAGAGAGAGATGAATCAGAGTAATCACAAACAGGGCTAGCAGCACAACTGGAGACAGAAAAGCACCACAGCCAACGAATGATGGGAGAAGTTGGGGGTCCCCACATGATCGCCAAGTCTTCAAGGAACCTGGGAGGAAGGGCCACAAGACTGTGGGAGGCCTAGTCAGGCCTCACCCAGCCTTGGGGGTCAAGGCCAGCCCGACCTTAGCATCTTTCAAATATTCTACTTCACCTCCAAACCTCTGCCTCAGCTCAAGCCTCATCCTCTCTTGTCTTCTCCCTAGTCAGTCTTGCATCCCAACCCAAGAAAAAATTTTCAAACATCCCTCTACTGCTCAAAACCTTTCAGGGGTACCCAATGCCCTCAGGATAAAGGCCCAGTCCTTTCATTCATTCCATGAATATGAAAGTGTTTGATGTGTGAGGGACTCTTCTACATGCTGGGTATCCATACTGAACAATGCAGACTGAAATAGAAGGTAACACTTGACCCTCAGGGAACTTTTCTTAGTTTCTTCCAGCCCATGAATCCAGCCTCCTCTACTGCATGTTCTCAATCACAATAAATATCTAAGTGGGCCCTTTGGCCTAGAATGCCATTCTCTTTGCCTACCTATTCATCTGTCTGGGCTATGCTCAGCCACTTTCTCCTTTAGGATGCCTTCCCGGTCTTCCCAGGTGCCCCTAGAGTGCCCCTGGCTACCTCAACTATAGATTTACCACCCGGATTGGGATTATCTGCTTATATATGTCTTCCTCTTTGGTCTCTCTGTTTTTTGAGAGGAGGAGCTCACTCTAATTTATTTGTATCCCAGTAACGACAAGGCTTTCTTGACACAGAGAAAGCCTCAAGAAAATTTTTTGAATGAGTAAACCACTCTCACCTGAAAATGCTGCCACCTGAGCCTTCTGCTTCTGAATTATGCCACTTGGATGTCCACACCAGCCTGTTAAAAAGTCAGGCTCAGGAGTCCTTTGTGTTTGATTTGGATTTTCCCACTCTTCCTTGCACAGTTATGTCTACTAAGTCCCAGTCCCTGATTATCTTGTTCCCTCTTCCGTGGTGGCTTTTCCTTGCAGCATTAGAGGACATCTCTCAACCTACACTTCTACCCCCCTAGCCCGCCACTGTTAGCTCTTACTTGGAATATTACAATAGCACCTAACTGTTCTCCTTGCTTCATTCTTGACTCCTCAGAGTCTATTCTCCACACAGCAGTCATACATATTTTAAAAAATAAATCTGAGGATGCCACTCCCCTACTCAAAACCTTCCAAAGCCTCCTCCTCCTCTCAAGTTTTGCATAAAAAGCTAAGTCCTGCAATGGCTTAGAAGGTCCTACATGATCTCTTGTTATCTCTCTGGCTTCATCTACCAACATTCTACTCCAACCTCATCTCTTTGTTCCTCAAAAATTCCAGGCATGATGCTTCCTCTTGCCTTGGTACTTAGTGTTTCCTCTGCTTGGAACACTTCCTCAAAATCTGTCATGGCTCCTTCCTTCTAACCCTAACCCTTCATTCAGGAGACTGCTCAAATATCACCTTATCAGAGAGGCCTTCCCTGCAATCCTAACTAAATTAACACCCATGCATAATCACATTCTTGATCATCTTACTTTACCTTTTTTTTTTTAAGATTTTATTTATTTATTTGTTAGAGAGAGACATAGTGAGAGAGGGAACACAAGCAGGGGGAGTGGGAGAGGGAGAAGCAGGCTTCCCGCTGAGCAGGGAGCCTGATGTGGGGCTCAATCCCAGGACCCTGGGATCATGACCTGAGCTGAAGGCAGACGCTTAACGACTGAGCCACCCAGGTGCCCCGCACCTGACATTTTTATACGTTCATCTGGTTATTGCCTGTCACTACCACTAGAATGTAAATTCCTTGAGGACAGGGATGCTTGTTTTATTCAATAACATTGGTGAGTAAAACAGTGCCTGGCACATAATAAGCACTCAATAAATATGGTAAGTGAATGAATGAACAGGTTTTTCGGAAGGCCCTGAGGTTAAGCGTCCCTCCGTCACTCTAGTTGGGTGACGACACAGGCAACAAGAAAGGGGTCAACCGGGGCGCCTGGGTGGCTCAGATGGTTAAGCGTCTGCCTTCGGCTCAGGTCATGATCCCAGGGTCCTGGGATTGAGTCCCGCATCGGGCTCCCTGCTAGGCGGGGAGCCTGCTTCTCTCCCTCTGCCTCTGCCTCTCTCTCTCTCTCTCTGACTTTCATGAATAAATAAAAAAAAATTAAAAAAAAAAAAAAAGAAGAAAGGGGTCAACCTTCCCTACAGACCCAAGCTATCACCTCCTGGCCCCATAGGCCAAGCCCACAGCTATGTTTTCAAGTATGATGATGATGGTTATGGGGAGGACCGTCCAGTATTCACTCAGCAGTCTGATGCAGTAGATGCCTGAAGGTCGAGTGAAGAAGAGGCCACACAGGAACATGAGCACAAAGACAACCACTGGAGGAAACACTGGATCCGGATCAAGGTCAGAGGTGTGGTTGGGTGACAAGGGCTAAGCAGAGGTTATAGACCTGGGCTGGGTAAGAGTCTCAGAAAAGTCAGGGCCATTGGTGGGAGTAGGGCATTGGTCAGAGTACCTGTAAGCAGCTTTGAATATTCCCTGGAAGAAGAAAAGGTGTCCTGGAGTGGGGTAAGGATGCCCTGCATGATCCCTATCATGCTGCTCAGCCCCAATGTCAGCAAAAGCAGGAAGAAGAGGATGGACCAGAAGACAGACCCAGGAATGAATGACATGGTTTCAATGAAGGCCACGAGTGCAAAGCTTGGGCCCGCCTTAACCTGTTGAGGGGAGAGAGGGCAGGAGTTAAAGTGTCCTTGAACTTAACAAAAAAAATACAGACAAGGATACTATCTTCCCTGGAAAACTCCCTAAAATCTGTGGGTCACTGAGAAAATCAGATCTCCAGGCTGACCCTCTGATAAAGAAAACCAATCCACCTAGCCATTATCCACAGATGGGCATTCTGCAAGCTATAGTTCTTTGCATTACCAGGGCTGCAGGTTACCCTGGTGTTTCTTGGATTTTTTTCTGGTGCTAACAAAAGCTGAAATTTGTTTCACTGAAGGCTTTGAGTAACTCTAGACTCTCCTCACCTATTTTTACTGACCTTCAAAAACTGCTTCTCTAAGTTGCATTCAGTCACGTAGCTGACGACCATGTTCTTGATGGGATGGGGAAGGCTGCTGAGCCAGAAGTTGAAGATGGAGGTCGGGTTATCAACCAGGTTTGGAAGGGATTGGGCCTCAACAGGCAGTTTCCCCAGGGTTACCAGCTCGCGAGTGTTTCAGCATTCCTGGGGATGAGGACATCACACAGAACAATTTGGCTCCTCTTATTTCTAGATAAGAAAGTACACCACTAACCTAGCACTACTGATCTAGATAAGGTAGAGCCTGAGATAAAACCTAGAAGGTACCCACCCACCTCCAGGATCATGAACTTGTGTGAGCCTGGAGAACTTATGACTATGGAGGAACCCCCGGAGAAGTGTTTTATTTCGTCTTTGCGGGGACTCTGCGGTACCTGCTACAGTGATGGGGTCTCTTATTCACCACCTACCCTACCCTTCCCTTCCTCTCTTCTTAGACTAGTAGGTAAAAGACAATCTTCTAGGATTTGCATTACAGAATGTCAGGGATATTACCACGTACACAATGCTCAGATGGAGTTGTGCTATGTGAGAGAAACTGCTTTCTTAGACTTTGTGATCTGAGCCCTGCTGACCTCTTTAACTTTACCTTCTTCCCATGACCCTCTGCCCATTACATGCTCTAATCAGATTCAACCACTTATACTTTCAGGGCTGACCATGATCTCTCATGCCCAAGACCAACCCCACCCCGGCTACCATTCTGCACTTGACTAATTCCTAAAAATCCTTAAAAATTCAGCTGTTGCTCTGTACAAACTGCAGTGGAAAGCTTGCCAAAACTTAGTGATAAGAGCAAAATGCAAGGTGCAGGGAAATAATTATAGTTTGATTACATTTTAGAAAATAAAATGTCTTCTTGGTAATAGGCAAGTTAAATATTTGGATTAACCCTCTCACTACAAATAACTTGAAGCCTGAAAAATATTTTAAAACTTCTTAAAAGAATTAAAATATTGAAAAAGTGAGGAATTGTTAGACAAAAATTGAAGTACAGACAAAAACAGTGGGGAAAGGGGACTTCCAAAGCAATTTTTCCCTGAAGTAAAAGTTAAATACAGCAAACTGTACCTGTAGTTTCCAATTTTGTGACCTTTAAGAAATAAAAAGACCATGGAGGTCAGATATAAAGCACTAGAGCCTGCACAAGTAAGAATCAGACTAAAAGGTCTTCCCCTAAACCTCACACTTGAAAGGGCTACATCTTCAGTATAAAAATGAACCAGAAGCTTGCACCCAACCCTTCCACAAAACAGGCAATGCAAAGAAGGTTGCTTCAGAAATGAGCAAAACAGGGGCGCCTGGGTGGCTCAGTTGGTTAAGCGACTGCCTTCGGCTCGGGTCATGATCCTGGAGTCCCGGGATCGAGTCCCGCATCGGGCTCCC